ACATTCTTGCTTTGGGCATATCTATCAAAGTTATGACCATCAAAACTGATGGGCCAGTACGCTATATGGATTTTCATTCAAATGAAGTAATTCCAATCCCAACTCCCTGGTAATAGTCTGAGAAGAACATGTTACCAAATCTATCTTCATACCAGAACTCAAACTTTTCTTTAATAAATCAAACACATAGCCTTGGTTTACACGTTCTGGAAAACCTAATGTCTGCTAAACTCCAAATCTCATGGGTTCTTTCAAACTAAAATCCTGCATGTCATGGTCATATGGCAAGCACAAAAGATCCCGCAGAGCGCAGAATTTTTCAATCTCTATCCATCAATTGAATCTCTCGACTGTACTTTGTTGAGAATATGTTTTTCAACAACTCATCATCGAAACCAGGTATAGGGTGTCTCATAAAAAAATGATGGTCACAAATGGTTTCTTTAATAATAAATAGTAATAATAAAATGGTGCTTATGAAGCACTTTCCACCAAAGTATATCATAAGTATGTCATGATCATATTGTGCATAAACTAAACATCTTGCAGAGCAGAGAATTTTCAGTCATTTTTTATCAATTGAATCTCTTCCTGTGCTGTGTTGAGAATATGTTTTTCAACAGCTCATCATCAAAACCAGGTATAGGGTGTCTCATAAAAAAATGGTGGTCACAGATGGTTTCTTAAGCATGTCTTGGTCATATTGCATGAACTGAATATCCTGCAGTTTGTGCGATTCGATTTGCAATACCATTGCAAAATGTTTAAAATATGTAAAATATGAAACAATAAACTGAAACCCAAACTGAAACTTCAAGTTCAATGGACTTAAGTTTGTATGGGGCCTGTTTTATGTAAGCATACAGGAGCGCATCAATTATTCTTTTCACAATTAGTTTTTGTGGTAATTGATAATATATTGATTGAACTTGCAATATCTCTTTTTAGAAGTGACATTTAAAGCTCATATTTTGTCTATATTATAACAACATTGAACCAATAACATGAAACACAACATATATTTGGGTGATTTTGGCGTATTTAAATAAAAAGATGATTATTTCAAATTTAGTGCAGCAGAAACTTCAAATTCAGTGCAGCAGATTTAACTTTATATGTACATTGTGTGTGCAAAATTATTTGTTGGGATACAAAGGTTAAATCTTTTCCTTACCATAACAGAACTAACGGACTATTAGATCCATATCAAAAGAAGAACAACGTTTTTTTTTTGAAGAGTTTCAGTTGCCACGTCAGAGCTCCGAACCCTAGATATTGTTTCAGCATGGCTGGCTACAAAAGTGCAAGTTAACTTGGTTGACCCTCGGAACGCAATGGAGCGTGACCACATTGCCATTGCTGTAACACAATAGTGGGCTGGTCCATTATGCCCTGCGGGGAAGGTATCCATTAGTTTTACTTGGATGTGCATGGTTACCATGATAAAATTTTTGTTTAAAAGTTATTTCCAACTCGGAGCCGTTTGCAATCAACTAATCAAAGGTTAGGAACTTAGGATATTTTTTAATGGATAAAGTTAGTGCCAATTTTAGGTTACTAACTATGTATTGCAAAGGGGCCTTTCACCCAGAATATATTACGATTACTTTGGGGTCAGTTGCACTGTGATATTATTACACTTGTTCTTTAATGTCAACCCTAGTTCAAACGCTACATCTAACCCTAACCATGACCCTAAACCTAGCCTAAAAACCTATTGTAACCCTACACCTAACTGACGCTATATTTCTGATTGTCAACAGAGCAAATGACAGAGCATCCTCACACTCATTTTATAGCAATTTTGAATTTTTTTTTGAAATGTTTGAATTTTAAAATGGATAAAGAAGTAGATCTGTGATTGCCCAAAGATACAAAAGGATGTATTTAAAGTCTCCTTGAAATGTGGTATTACAATTCGAAATCTTCAAATGTTCTGTAATTTCTGCAAAGTAATTTTAATTCAGGAATACTTAAAAGCTATATATTCTTGGATAAACAAATTTAATTACAAATACATTTTTACTACATGAATCATTTGAAAAGTGTTTTCACATTGTTTCTGTTTTTCAATTTAGTATATTTCATTGAGGGAGGACAAGGGAATTAATGTGCGAATATACCGGTAGTTAATGCTCTTTATATTCATCATGCTATGTAAATAACGGTCTGCGCAATTTACCACAGTGTGCTGAAATATACATGTATACAAACTGGCCCCATGCTAATGAGCGAATTGCAATCAGTGTTAATATCTGTCGCCACCGTGACTATCGACTTTAGTTAAAGTTTAAAGATTTAAAAAAAGTATCTGTACAACTGTACGTGTATACTGCCTACATTGTATGTTCAAGTTCATGGCTAATGTTGTGAATAAAAGGAGGAAATCTGCTTTAAGTTCTTGAGTTTCTTTTAATTAGAACCATTCATACCCTTCATATCACTGAAAAGGCCTGTTTTAATCAGCTCGAGTTTGCCTAATAACTCACTATTTTCAGACACAGGATATTATCCTGAAGCTTGAAATTGGGTCCTAGCCAGACTGTTACACTCACCATAGACTAGCTCGGACAGGCGCAAATTAGCACAGGGTATTTTGGAAACAAGACCAAGATACCCGATTAATTTGTGATTGGTATAGTTAAAATAGCTGGTTATTTGGCAAATTCGAGCTGATGAAGACGGGTCTAATGAAACTTTCAGAGCATTTCTTGCCACACTCCTTTTATTATTAAAGGCCAATTAAAGTTATAATTGATGCTATCATATTAGATGTCAAGTTATTAACCCAAAGGTTAATTAACTTCATGTCCTTGAGATTTCCACATTAGAACTTTCCATGAACTACTTCTGGGCCAGACTCTCCCAAAACATTTATTTTATCAAGGTCATATATAGTTATTAATGCTATTGAATTTACATTCAATTATCAAAATAATGCTTGTTTATTTGACTTTGGTTAATTTAGGACAGGGATTTGTAACTTTGTATAGAGAGTTGTTTTGTAGCATTCCTGCCCCTCTCTGCTTAGGTGACCAAGTGGGAAGCTATTTCCCCCACCCACAATGAAGTGCACTGGTCCGTGTTGATGCCATTGTCCTGTGTCAAGGATAGCTGTGGGTGGAAGGTTCCATTGTACAATATGGGGGTCATGGATGAGGGATTTTTTTCTATTTTATTAGATGGGTTGGTCTTTTGTCAGGAAAGACAACACGATTAAAAGATAAAGAACACTGGATGATTTGCTTGTTACAAGTGCATTAAGTTGGAAACTTATTAGCCTACATCTAAGCATTAAAGGCCGGGACAAAGATCTGCATGCCTTGAATGATATACCAGTAAGTAACATTCCCATTTGCAGCCAACATCAAATTCTGTGGAACTTTGCAAGAATTGAGAATATGTCACATATCTGTGAAATTTAAATGTTAGCAGTGTCCTAGTATTCGAATTATGCAAGGAAATCTATTTTTTCTCTAGATTTCACTGTCAGACACTATTTAGTGACTGACCAACTTCATTTTTTCTTTGGTAATAACATACATAAAATGAGCTGTAAAGGTACATGAGCATTCGTCTACATCAATGACCTACTTCTTGTATTGGTAAAAATTGAACTGATTTAATCTTTGTGCAGCACAAAACGTATGACCATTCGGTACAAGGGTCTGAAAATCAGACTATTCCTAAAATGATTGCAATCACTAAAGTCAATTCGACAACTAATGCTCGTTATTTTCCCACTAAAAGACATTTTCAAGCCCTTTGGTTTTGAGGGAAGTTTTAAATTACCAGTAGTGTTATCTTTCAAATGCTGTTAGAATTTAACCTTTTCATTTGTTGGGCCTGCAAATAGGATATAGTACCTTTAAGGCGGGTGGCCAATTATTATTTGACTATTGTGTAGCACATTGATATCATCCCTCACCATGATGTAGAACTGATTTGATCCATGGAAGCAATCAGTCATATTGATGTGTTCACAGTATCGGTGCTATAAATAAATGTCATTTTCGATACTTGGCTCCTCCTAATTTACATCAACACTTTTTCATTTTTCCTTTTTTTCTTCACTTTTCCATAACAATACACCTGGAATGCAGATGAAGAATTTCTGAATATAGTGTTTGATAGTGTTGTTGTTCTGGGGTAATGCTGATGTATACGTTGAGGAGCTTTAAAATAGTTTTATAACTTTGTCACTCTGGAAGAGTTCAAACTGTAGAGGGAGACATATAAGATCATTCTTTGTGCTCTTTAAGTATGTCTACTACACATAAATACACACAAATTTTTATGAGACTTGTTACTTGAAGAATAGGGAGAATTTGTATTTATTTATTTAGTTATTTGTTTATTTATTAATTTATTAATTTATTCATTTATTAGTTTATTCATTTATTCATTTATTCATTTCTGCATGGTATGATCAAGATGAGATTTAACCCACAATAGCAGTAGACTTCAAACAGGTAGCTACAATCACAACACATTTACAGTAATACTGCATGGAGAAACATGCAGGGGTTTGGAAATAGAAGCCCAAGGCTTGAATTTCACTCTCTTTTTCTCATGTTTGATCCTTTTCACACAGATACATGCAATACTTAAAGAGGCATTGCTGTTCCCATAGTCTCAACCTAACCCTGGACTTGAGCTCTAGTCCTTTTTTCTAATCTCACAGTTAGCGATATAGGCCTATAAATGAGTGTCTAATCCAGTGCCTAAACCAGTACCTAGACCAGTGCCTAAACAAGTGCCTAACCAGTATCTAAAACATACAATGATTCAGATAATTTCAATATTTTTGTCCCATTTCCAATTACAGAAAGAGAAATACCACACTCATCTAGCAAAGCTGAACTTGGTCCAAGTCATGAATTTAAGGACTTACTACAGTTTCAGTGGGAATAACGTTGATTAATTTTCATTATTCTTGAAAGCTCAAACACAAGATTGATCTAATATTTGTAATATTTCTCATTTTTTTTCTGTTACAGAAAGAGAAATACCACACTCATCTAGCAGTGCTGTACCTGGACCAGGTCCTGAAGATGAAGGCCAGCACTGAGACAGTCCCTAGGTTAGACCTGGACCTGGCCCGGTCCAAGCTGCGTCACCTGCTCCAAGACTCCTCTGTCTATCGGGTCCAGCTCATCCTAGGGAAGGTCAAGGAGACAGACATGTATGCAGAATGTGCAATACTGTATGGAAAGGTATGTTCCCTGCACTTACCAGGGCCCATTGCATAAAACTTACTACATTTTTGATCAATGAAATCCTGTTCAGTGATTGGTCAACAGAGCATCACGTGATCCAACATAATATTGCTATGATGTAACCGTGGCGTCATCCATGGTAAAGTGCACTATACCATAGCACTATATCATGGATGACGTAATAGATATGCGATCGATCAAGATCAATGTGCTATCGGTCGCGGTCACTTTATGTCCGTCTGCGCTGCTCTCACCAGCCAGAGCACCTGCACTATACACAACTTCAGTGACACTAAACATTATTATTAATATTTAATATATAAGGTTGGTTTGAAAAATATAAAACAAGTATATCATGCACTATTTCAAGCCAATAGTGAAATTATGGATTCCTCAGCGACAGAAATAGCACTATTCCTGCCACCTCGATCCATAATTGCAACTAGAGCCTCTCAGTGCATGGTATATTTGTTTACTATCGATGGTAACTTGGCTGTTAATGCAAACCTTGAATTGATTGGTTATTGCACCACAAGAGGGGGTGATTTTGTTACAGATCAAATCAATTTGCTGGTTGATTTGCCATATTTATTATGATTGTCATCACCCTTGTCAGGGAGAATTTACCACTGGTTTTATTCTTTTCTGCCATTCCCTGTGTTTGGTATAGAGTACAGGAGCTTTGATAATAGTGATTTCCCATTGAAATCTATTTATTTGGATGGTCATATCTCAGCCAATGCTTTGTTTTCATCATTTGGACATTATTTCTGTTGCTCTTTCGGAAAACGAAGATCAAATTATCATTCTGATTATTATCTTTATCACCATCTTTATCACCATCATCATAAATCATCACTATCACAATCATCACTGTATTGTTTCTATCCTATCCCCACCCCTCAGCTGGAGGAGCACGACAAAGCTCTTCGGATCCTGGTCCACAAGCTGCAGGACTACGGAGCCGCAGAGAACTACTGCATGGTCAACTCCAAGGACCAAGACCAGGCCTACAGGAGAAGACTGTTCCAGCTCCTGCTCACAGTGTACCTGGACCCAATGGAAGGGTAAGTGTTTAAATACCTAGTTTCATAAGGGAAAAATTTTGCTCCCACTACTCATCCTTCCCTTTAAGGGACCAGTCCCACATCACTGATAATACATTGAAACCTGTATATAAGTCCGCTCAAGGGAAACATGAAAAGTAGTCTTTTTAGGCAGGTGGTCTTAATGTACTAGTTCCTTTAGTACACTCACTCAGGTTTCATTCAGAACCCATATTCAAGGGAAATGAAAAAAATGTGGTCTTTACAGAGAGTTGGTCACTAAAGCAGGTTTGACTGTAATAACTATGAATTGGGTCTCATGAAGTGGTGTGTAATTTATTGGATATTGATGTTGCTCACTGATTTTTGCTGATCAGCTTTCAGTACTGATTTGCTTGGATCCTCCTTTTAATTGTCTCTTTGTGTCATTCTTTGTTTTAATTTTTTTCTTCTCTCTGTTTTTCCTTTTTTTTTTTTCCTTCTTTACATTTACCTTGCATTTGCCATCAGTATATTTAGCCTTGACTTCTGTTTTTTGTCTCTTTCTTTGGTACAGTAAAAAGGATTCCCTTCTAGGACCTGCTATGAATCTGCTCAACAGCCCAGAGGCTGACTTTGATACTGTCAGAGTAAGTCCTTCTTTTATGTTTTTCTTTCATTCATTTATTTCTGCATCAAGATAAAAAACAATATTATAAAATATTCAAAAAAACCAACATATATAATGAGATATCTGAATTGGGAGGGTCATGAAAAGCACATAAATGGCTTGTTGAAACTGGTCCTGGCTAAATAACAATTACTTGTATATAATTTACAAAAAAGGGAAGATAAAGAAATAAGAGAAAAGGAGGATCCGTTGCATAAACATTGAAAAATAAGTTATAAGAATTTTTTTTAAAGTTCACTTTGTAGTTTAAAGCAGCATAGCCAAGAGAGTGGGGGCACATTCCTCCGACAAAATAAGTATAATACAACTTATAGTAATTTGAGGATAATTAATATTTTACCTCTGTATATGCTTTAGAAGGTTTAATTCTTTTAATGTCTACCTTTTAATTTTATTTTTGCCAATTAATATTTAGGCACAATTCATTCATCACTTGAGCATGAAATATTTTTTCTTGTGATTCCCCCATGCATAAAACAATGATCCTCTTCAACCTGCCCCTCCCCCACCCCCTATAGATCAGAAGAAATAGGTTATCAAATGAAGTTTACAAAAACTCTATCATTATCTTGCATGAGGACCTCTCCATTTGCATCACCAGTAAATGAAAAGTTCTGACACATTCCCCTCATTCTCTTGACAGGTTCTTCAGCTCCTTCCGGAAACCTGGTCAGTGGGTCTCATCTCACGCTTCCTCTCCGAAGCGGTCCGGTCCAGCACCCACGGGAGCCGCATGTCCCGTGTGGAACACACCCTGACCCGCAGTGAGAACCTGCACCTACGCGGGGAAATCGTCGACAACAGCCGTTGCCTCATCTCCCTCACCGAAGACCGGATGTGCCAGGTCTGTCGGGGGCCATTCAGTGAGCCGACCTTTGTGCGATATCCGAACGGGGTCATCACGCATACGCAGTGCGCAAGGAATAAAGCGGTTTGTCCGGTCACGGGGCGGTTGTTCAGTACGCGCAAAGAGTCGACGTGATAGAGCATTGTTGAGTGGTTTTGCGATGCTTGACATGATCAAAGCACTTTCTATTGCTCTGAACTCTAGACTGTGAACCCTCAACTCTGAACTCTGCACTCTCATCACTAGAATGTGAACGCTGCGCTCTCATATGTATAATGTGAGCTATAGGTTTTGCCCAGCAAGAATGTGTAGAATTAAAGTAAATGCAGAGTATAACTAACTAGTTCTATCTATCTGAGCCCATATCATCTTCTTGACTCTGTTAGTGTAGACTTGCAACCCTGAAATCAGAGAAAATCCAGGGAAATGGGTATTCTTTTTCCCCTCAAGGAAGCAAACAGTTGGGGAAATTAGAAATAAAAGACAGCCCCCAAAGACAGTAGTAAATCTCTGACACTTTACCTCAAGTCTTTTAACACTTTGGTTGACTTCTTTGCACATTCACTCATTTGCCACATGTGCACATCTGCACAAAACAGTAGGCACCAATTACCAGAAGGATTGCTTTGTCCAACACAATGCAAATTATCCATTTGCAGAATGGATTAGATCCATCACATTTTTGTATCACTGCCATAGATGAATCATGCACTGGAAACAATTACAAAAAATCCTGCGGCCTTTGGTACAGTAAAACCTGTCTATAAAGACCACTCAAGGGAGTCAAGAAAAGTGGTCTTTATAGGCAGGCATTCTGTATATCCAAGTTCCTTTAGTATATTTTTCAACAAGAAACCATTTTAGATGGAAATGAAAAATTTGATCCCGTGATAAAAACAGGGAGATTAATTGTGTGGCATCGTAAGGGTTAAAGGTCACATTTGGTGAATTTAAAGGTGAACATCACCTCATCCTTATATTTCTCACTCACAGGCATGTATGTGTAGCCAAGAAACAAAGTTGCATTTTGCCCATCATGATGTATATATGGTTTCGGATTCTTTTGTTCAAATACAGATGCATAACTTCTAATCGAAAGTCACAAAACTGCATATAAAACATTGCCAAAACCAAAAAGAATAGGCCTTTTATGTTGAAGTTCTTTGGGATAAAATTAAAATGAAAGCTGAAAGTCAACTAAAATCATGTTCTGCCTACATCATGTGCTGTGTGGCAATGTTTTAAGATGTAGAGTCTCCAATATCTTGAAAGAAGAGCCGCTATAGCTTGGCTTCGAAGAATGTTCGGTTTCTGGAAAAATATGAAGGATTAAAGTGTTCTTAATAGTCATTTCTATTTCATGATATTAAAAGTTGTTTTCAGAAGATTTGTGAATTTCCCAAGCACAAGTTTTACCACTCACGAATAGCCCCGGCAAGTCAGCCCTGGTAAATTCTTTTGCGTGAATTTATTATGTGGTGTAAACAATAATATTATTGAAGTGCAATTTAAGCAAGCATTCAACCAGCATTGCATGTGTTTGCAAATATATTCTTGACCAAATTATTATTCACATTTTAATGTTTACTTTTATATTATATTATTGTTTAGTTGTGTAGGAATTACTATCAAGCTTTTTGTATTGTTGGTACATGTGGCAATATCATGTGCTTTTTCTGTGCTGTGTTCTCTTTGCAGTTCGAACTGTATAAAATACAGAGTTCAATACCTACAAAAGAACAAACAAAAATAAAATTTACAAGGGGTATGAATAATTGAGTTGTTAAAGGTAATACAAAGTTTTGGGAAATTTTGAAAAATGAGTGGGTAGTGATTTTTTACAATTTTGATATATCTGGATGCCCCTGTGGATGTATTATAAGCACTAGAAAATTTTGCCCCTGAAACACTTCTGCTTTCGAGTAAAATAGAATATAAAAAATTACTGGTGCTCCCAAAAAAATTTTGATAAATTTCAAATAGCGCCTACGACCGTACAATAGTATCTGCGACCATGAAAATCTTAGAATATGTAGTTGTGATATATAGATTCCAAACAGGAATTGATATCTTGACCTTGAGAGGGAGCTATACAACATAAAGAGTGTATTATTTACAATTTTATCATTTTAGACTCGATTTCAACCGCGACAACGATCACTGAATATTGTAGGATCGCATATGCTTCCAATATGTTCATTTGAACCAAATTCATGACCCCATACCAAAACTTTGTATTACCTTTAACTGTATCACCATGTATCACAATTCATATTAATGGTGTAAAGTCTCATCTTCATTTTATCTTTTGTTTTTCATGCAACTCAATTTGTAGCGATGTACATTGTAACATATGATATATTTATAATGCTTTGAAATTGTGGGAATTTCGGATATATAGAGATGTGTACAATTAAAGATGTCTGTGTACACAAAGTTTGGCAATGGTAAATTCTTGTTGTAACTACTTGTTGTTTCTAGTCGGCCAATTCCATGTGTTGCAGAATAACATCTACGGAGAATTTGTTGATATACAGTAGGCTTGCGGGTGCACCATGTGAGAGAGAGAGAGGGGATTGAGGAGTCCTGAAAAGGACTCTTGGTAATCTTTCTTGAGGGTGTGTAGTCCTGAAAAGGACTGTTTGTGTAGTCTTGAAAAAGACTGTTGGTTATCTTTCTTAGCTTATAGTTCTAAGGAGAACTATAGTGCTTGGAGAGGACGAGTGGCGGGAGTGGCTCGACGTTTCAAACAGGTTGACTATCCGTCGTCAGGAGAGAATTTGTTGTTTTTAATAGAGAATATTATAGACATTTTAATTAATACTCTAAAAATTAGTGACAAGATATATTGAATATAGTGTTGATTTGATGATAAGAACTCCTTGGTAAACCATTAATTTCCTAAGATTTCAGCCAAAATTATACTACAATACCGGATACTTGTTCAAACTTTCAAATCTATGTCGACCACTCTTCTTGTATACATTTCCTCACTCTTTCAGCAACAGAGAACATCCTATTCCCTTAGGTCTTCATCAGCTCCTACCTTTGTCATTCCCAAATCCTGTAAACAGGCTGGTCAAATCCTTTCAGTCCTTAGCCCCACGTCTCTGGAACAAACTCCCCTCGTTCTTAAGAAACAGTATTTCACTAGATTCCTTCGAAAAACAACTGAAAACTTACCTGTACAACTCACTACATTGTTGATGGTCTCAGAGACAGCGCCTTGTAACCTTTGGAAAAGGCTCTATATAAATCCAATTATTATTATTATTATTATTAGGCATAGTTTTGAATGGATTACGACTGATGACCGAGAGAGAGGGTCTTTGAGAGTTTGTGTAAGCGTTCACGAACGCAACAGCCCAACAACCTAACAGACATGTCCGTCTTTAAGGCCTTCTGAAAACTTTTCTCAGGGTTCATGAAACCAACATGCGACTCTGGAGGGCTGTCGGTATCATGGGCTCTCAGTTAATTTGGATGCACCTAGAAATACCACTTCAGATTTGGCTAATTGACGGAGCGCATAGGGGAGGGTAGTCCAGATCCCGTCCATTTTTTCTTCACTCGTCTTTTTCCCCTCCCTAAAATGCATTTCACATAGTTTGCGAGGTCTCCATTACTCTTTTCAGATTTTACCGCGGTCATCGGATTCATTCATGCACAATGTGCACCATCTCCACTCAATGTAGGGGCATATGGAAATTTGAATTACTATCAACACAAAGGCTTTCGTCATCCTACCAGGTATCCATTTCTCCCCTGGGTATGGAGTGGCAAATGTAGATTGATGCTTTGCCAAATGACATTAGTGCCGTGTCGGGGATAGGAGCCACGACCTTTGAATTTCTAATCAAGTGCTTGAACCACTCCACTACGACACCTCTACTTCTTTATTTTGATATGTTGGACGAACACCCTTCTGCTCTGAATAGACAATATACATGCCCAGAAAAGGTGAATAGTTCCTCGACTATTGGGGGTATGCATGAACAGTGGCAACAACAGTTTTGCGGAACACTTGGCGGACAAGTCGAGAGACAGTTTTGGATGTCATTGATCTTGATTTGTTTCGGATAAAGACACCCTGGCTCTGAAGAGATATCTATGCTCACTAAGGTGCATTTTTCCTTGACTATACAAATTACTATTAGGTAACTACTAAATTACTCATACCCTTACACAGTTTTGTAATAGTTAAAGTATGTGAAAATTGATTTGTCCCAATATATGTTTAAGAATGTGACCCATTAAAGATAAACTTTAGTACTGGTGATGCGATTTCATTGTGAAAGAAAAGGTGTGGAAAGGATCAGAAACAGTTGATCATGTAGCATGTAAATATTGGTGTGCACTGCAAGGTTCTGGAGTCATCAAAATCATAATAAATTTGACCGAGTCTTGGTAAAGTAACAAGCACTCACATAGAAAGCTATATATGGGACAACACACATGGTGTCGGGGCTAGTACTACCTTGATTTCCTTGTCTTTCTATGCTCATTACTCAGCCAGTATACATTTTCTTCCAAAATTGTTTGGCACATGTCATTTATTTGTAATCTTGAACATTCAGTGTAAGTTTCGTTTGATTCTGTGAGAATTTTTTTTTTTTTTTTTACCAGTACTGGAGTTTATCTTTGATATGCTTTCATCTAACACTATTCAACAAAGGCCCTTATTCAACCAGTCAACCTTTCATTCTTGAGTTTCAAAAAACAAACAATTTACAATGGGTAAAAATAAATTAGTTATTTACGGAACTGTATATTTCTACAAGTACAAAACACACAATAATCATATCTGTTGATTCATATCTTATTTTATTATCATAGCGATGAAAAGGAAGCGATTAAAAAACCTAATAATGGATGAAATATCAAAGAAAATGACAGATTTATTACAAAGTCTTGGTATCGTTTACATATTTCATGATTTTTTTTTCTCCTATCCTGTACAACTACAGTACATTCGATGTGCAATAAAAAGTTCCCCGAAAAACAGCAAAATTACAATCATCAGCAAATACAAAAGATAGCTTTTATGAACAAAAAGACGAACCTAGGTGCAAGGTTAATTATACAAGCTCTTTATCTTTCGAAATAATAACAAAATAAATGCATTTATAAGATATTTAGAAGTTTATTTACAGCCATAATTTCTCCTTATCAAACTAATCACTATACACATGTGGAAAAATTACTTAAATTTTTTTGACAAATATATCTGACATATATATGCACGATAATGCACCAATTTTGAAGATTTTCCTATATTCGTGACTTTACCTAAATCTAAATGCTATCGCTACACGCACATTCAGTGTATAGTACCAATGCGTTTATCTGGGTATGCAAGTATATATGCAAATATGAAATGTTTATTTTGAATGACTATTTTAAAACTAAAGTATGCATGTGCACAAAATGATGTTTTGATTGATTTCATACATCTTATAGCTACTTGAACACGCTTTCTAGATATTTTGGTCATTCCAACACAAATGCTTTTACACTACTCAAATGAAATACAGGTACTGGATTTGCGTAAAAGTTTGGAACCTCTACATTAACTGTCACCCTTCTTAATAAGAAGAAGAAAAAAAATCAAACCTAGTTTTGGAAGAATGACTTTTTTAAATGTCTTAGAAACTCAAATGGCTAAAAGAAATCCACCTCCGCAAAAATGAAGAGATGAAGAAGAAGAAAAACATTTAGGTGATGCCTTATTTAAGCAATAATCATACAGTAAAATACAAAGTTTGGTCCAAATAGATACAAGTGTGAATATGCTATCTCAATCATAATTTGAAGGGCGTTGCATCACGTTAACCCTTTCGCGACAATCATTCCATATTTCGTGGTTTCGCTAAATAACTTTGGATTCAGAGATCTACAAAACATGCCACGTGTACGAGGAGAAAAGGCAAAATGTATGCGTTCTTGTTTCATGACCATATTGCGTTTGATGCCGGTAAATTTTAAAAGGAAAGTAAGCTTTAAAATCCTTAACATTGAGAAATTCAAAATCAGGTTTATTTAAATAAAAATTGGCCACTTTTTACAGATTTTTCAAAAATATTCTCAACAATGTATACTCTCTTCAGAGGCATTATATTTTGTAGCGATAAAAGAAATATATAATTGTTGCCAATTTGAAGAACAAAACGTGATTAATTTAGCCCTTACAATAAATCTTGTCCTGAAAGAGTTAAAAAGCACAGTCAACCACATCTTAGAACCATGGTTTAGTTTATCAAAGTCAAATTATACCATAGCTACATGTATACACACTGATGATTATATATAGTAACACATAAGGGCCCCGTTTCATAAAACTTCTTATCAATAACAAATGCTAAATTTCTATGACAAATCTGCTCTTAGCCAATCAAATACAAGGATTTCAGTAGCTTATAACAGTCATTGTAACTTGTAATTGATAATAAGTTTCATGAAAGAGGGCCAAGGTACTGATGAATAGTACACACGATAAGACACTATTATATAACAGCATTAAACCTTTCACGACTCACACACAATTAACCATGCATAATTCAAAGGCAATTTATTGTGATTTCAAGTTTATATGATATCATAACTTAGAGAGAGAGAGAGAGATATGTCATGGTGACAAATCTACAGGAAGTAAGTAAGGTCATAGGTCAAATCATGGAGCTCCAAATATGTAGTTTCCTCCCACAACAATCTCTATGGGAGGGACTACATGATGTATTTGAAGCCTATAAAATGACCAACAGATCAGAAGCAACTTCCTGTGGCATAACTCTCTGTCTCATCAAACTATGGTTGAATCTATATACTGCCCTCAGCCATCCCAACTCTTGTAGTTCTGATTTTAATAGACAATTATATACAGCAGCTTTAATGATCCAATTTTCAGTATTAAACAAGCTCAAATTTTTGTATAATCAGGCATTGTTGTTGGGAAACATTGAAATCAGATCTTTGCACAATTTAAATTACAATTTACATGTACTTCAATAATTTGCGGACATTAAAATGTCTGTACTTCACGTTTTTAAAACATTTCTAGAATTCTCATTTTCCTTGACTCTCTTCTTTGAAGCATATACTTTTCATATAAACCATTTGTATGCACCATAAACATCAACACTGCTGCTTTTGATAAGTAATTTGTTTAAATACCTTTTCAACAATAAACAACCACCACAAATTGTAGGTCGAACTTGTCAATGTTTTAAATTCTATCTGCATATACAGCACAACACATTGCCAGCATATAATCGTAAAGTAGTACTAAATTTCAAACATTTAAAAAAAAAAAAATCCTTTAACAACTAGTTTATACAAGACTGATAAAGAGAGTAAGGAATAAAAATCAGAAACAAAAGTAGTACTTTTATAAGATTCATTTAAGTTTCAATTCGTAGAAAAATATCTATAATTATAATCTTGCATTTTCAGGAACACTTTCGTCTGTGATCGAAACATGCATTAAACAATCACACTAAACTTGATTGACAGTTTCACACGCATATTTCAAGAATTTCTTTATACAAAGTCAGTATGGATTATCCTTTTCTATTGCTTACTACATGTATGTGCCCTACGCTTCCACAAACATGAACTTGAATATTCTGTATGGAAATACTATTGCTTTGTGATACTATCTAAAACTATTCTAAGGATGGTTGATATCATTAAAGGTATTACAAAGTTTTGGTAAATTTTGAAAATTGGCTGGATAGTGATTCTTTACAATTTTGATATATATGGATGCCCTTATGGATGTATTATAAGCACTAACAAAATTAGCCCCTAAAACACTTTGTTTTCATTGAATACACAAATTTACCGGTGCTCCCGGTAAATTTTGATTAATTTCAAATAGCGCCTACGACCATACGATGGTAGCTGCGACCATGAAAATCTCAGAATATGTATTTGTGATATATATATTCCAAACGGTAATAGCAAATCGGTCGATTTTATTCAGAGAACATTGTTTTATAGCTAAATTAATATATTGATCTTGAGAGGGCGCTATACAACATAAAGAGTTTATTATTTACAATTTCATCACTTCAACCGCGACAACGATCACTGAATATTGTAGGATCGCATATGCTTCCAATATGTTCATTTGAACCAAATTCATGACCCTATACCAAAACTTTGTATTACCTTTAAAGAGTTACATGTACATTGTATACCGTACAGCAAGTATTGATTTTGGTACAAAATATTTCTCTTTTTGTGGAGGTTAGAATCCAACCCCCCCCCCCCCCCTCCCCTCCCAACAGGTGTCGTGAAATGCTCGAGGATGATTTATTTTGCACCTACAAGACCTAGAGTATTTTTTACACATCTTTTGAATTGACACACTTTCAAAATAAGGGTATCGAACAACATTAAAAATCACTGTGACAATGTGTGTGACTACAGCAATATAAACATTACGTTATCATACCAACACAGAGATTTGTGAATAAATGATGCAGAAAGACTAAGCAAACTATAATTTCAAACAAAACTTGAGGTGAAATTGAAAGGAATGATATTTTTGACACAGAATCGTGCTTATTTCATTGCTTTTTTTCCAAGGTACATGCACGTTTTGACATAACAGAAATTGGAAGTCATAGAAAGTTATGAGACTACTTCAAATACACTGTAGTTCAAGTGCTGAGTCACAAAATTCAAGTGTCTTGAGATAAAGGCTAAAAGCTGCAAAATGCAACTCGCAACATGAAAACTAGTTTCGAAAATATCTGCTAGCGGACGATAACCCACTCATGAATTATTATATGATAATCTTATGACGAGCTACATGAGAGGAAGCAAAACAATATAACTTTGCTTTAGAAGTTTTTCTTTCACATCTAAATCTTTATGTGCTTTCAAGATCAATTTTTAGCCGACAATCTGTTTGAAATACTGCACACATGTTGTGTGTGAACGTGTGATCGTGAAATGGCATGCACTCATACACTTAAAATATATACAGCTTAAGAAATAGATCATACTATTCTCAATTTACAACTAAAATTGTAGAAGTTCTAGAGGAAATCAAGTGCCATTTTGAGCGTATTGTGATCCTATGATAATTCATCTATTAAAAGACCATTCATGATGCATTCAATCTTTGTCTATCAGTAAGGGCCATGCAAGAAAAACTTTCCACTATGAACTGGTTAACCTCCATTTAAAAATGTGGCTAGATTAACGGTTGCGGATAAAAAATAAAACTCAATGCATGTTTCTTCTTGGCAAAAGGTATCCAATAGAACCAACTCATTCCATTAGCTGTTCAAACGGCCACCCTTTATGACCCAAACAAATTCCATGCATTAGTTGTTGCTTGGTCAGTCAAACCTTGGAAAAGCTTTCAAGTTCGGACCAATGTCCGAGTCATTACAATAATGATCTATTCAGTAGCTATATACGTATCTATTTCATATCTTTGGATAAAATATACCATAAAATATCTATCAACTTTACATTTTTTAATCACACTAGAGTACATCTTGTTTAAGTACTGAGAAGTATTGATATAATATGTACTGGTTTGTAATCACATATGTCGTGTGCCCGTACCATTATACACTGGTTTGCTGACAATAGATGGCGCTCTTCTCATAGCTGATCCGTTGTTTCGCTGCTGGTCAAGCCCTAACCAGGCGAGGAGATTAGATCAGGTGACTAGCAGTGATCATGTGACCAGTGATGATCATGTGATTGGTGGTAGTAATCAGGTGACTTGGGATGATCATGTGATTGGTGGTAGTGATCAGGTGACTTTGGATGATCATGTGACCAGCTCTGATCACCTGACTAATCAGGAGGAGACGCAGGCAGAGTCGGTGGTGAGCACATACCGAAGAATTGGAAGCATGAAGAAATACATGTATATACTGTCAAGGAAAAGAGAAACCAAAAGCGATAAATGAATTTATTGAAATAATGCATAAATGGAAAGGAAATGAATTGAACTAAATAGAAAAGGGTCATAGAATATCTGCTTGAACCCTCCTCAAATGATAGCAGAGACCCAGTCACATCTTGCCCCGTTACAGCCAAACCTGTCTATAGTGACTGGTCACACGTTTTGTATCCTTCTGGGAGAAAATGTGTGTTGAAGAACCTGTCTGGAAAGGCAACCTGTGTACAGTGGTCACTTGCTTGTGTTTTCCTCTTGGGTGGCCTTACTAGAAATGTTTGACTATTTTTAATGTAAAATTCATCCAAAATATTCATCATAAATACAAACTCCTTTACCCCCCCCCCCCCCCCCCCCAAAGCAGCCATAATTATTTTGCTTTATTTCATTGCGTCCATAGCTCTGCTCCACAGTGCAATAGGACTTTGACATTCTGTCCAGATTTTTACGCTCTCAGAACTCTGGTTTTCTTATTCTTCCTAAAAGTACTAAAGTGTGGGGGTGGAACCTTTGCTCATGCAGGGTCTTTGAAGCGATATTCATAACAGCAGATCAGTTGGAGTGTTTCAAAATAATCTTAAAATGCATCCGTTTCATTCATCATATAATTAATTGCTCTGTAATTCTTGAAAGTCCTATCTTACCTCCCTTTCGTTGCTTACTATGCTGTTTTGTTTCATAAGTATCCCTCAAGCACTAGCTTTTCAGTGGACCTAGTGCCCTAAAAATCTCATACATTATTATTATTATTGTATTTGTAGTTTACAGTCAAACCTGCTTTAGTGACCACCTGTCTACAAAACCCACCTGCCTACAAAGACCACATTTTTTTCATTCCCTTTGGTTTCTAATTCAAACATGTACTATTGCAGAGATGCCAACCTTCTTCAACAAAAATAAGTATTCTTAAGAGCAAAAAACAGTATTTTTGGACAAAAAACAGTATTTTTGAAAAAATCTCTCAACTTAACATATCGCCCAATCGAGGAGCTTAAAAAACCAGGCAGTACCACGTATACGTATCCGGATCGGAGCGCGACGTGCATACATCACACGTGGGTTGTTCGCAATGTGCGCAGTTTGGGGCCCGTATCACCATCCTGCGTGCATCGTTTTAAGATGTAGGTGCATAATACACTTACGACACAAAGCCCATGATCAGAAATTAAGAAAAATATCACTAACAAAAAAAATAAAATGAAAAAAAAAAAAAAATTAAAAAAATTTAAAAATTAAAAAAAAAAAAAAAAAATTTAAAAAAACGTAACAAAACATACAAAAAATGTACTGCCGTATTCATAGCGAAAAAACGGAACAAATACGGCAAAAACGGAACAGTTGGCATCTCTGCTATTGGCACCTTCACATAAAGACCACCTGCCTATAAAAACCACTTTTCTTGTATCCCTAGGATGGTCATTATAGACAGGTTTCACTGTATTATATCACAAACCTATCAAATACCTACCTGTTACAACGCACAATTAAAACCACACCCCAGCACCTTCTTATAGCTGATTAAACGCTGCATATTTATCCTCCCAGTTCTTCGAGGATGCCTGCTTCTTCTTCTTCCTCCCTGCAGCCAGTATCCGGGCCTTCTCCATGCTCGACTTGTTGCTGTCCACGTTTAGACTAGCTTGCCTGGATGTAGGCGGGGCAGTGGGTCTCGAGGGAGGTACTGATTCAGTCTATACGGAGAAGAAAAACGAAATCAAATAAATTAAAATCAGGCTGCTGTCCATTTTTAGACTAGATATTAGTGTTAGATTATATCTGTAAACAAAAATACAAATGTAGAGATATTAAAGTCTGCAGTGATCTAGTCGGATGTGAACGCATGTAATATTTTACAAAGAACTAAACTTTTCACAACTGAGATCAATTTATTTTGAAATTATGCAAAATTATTTTCCACTTCCTAAACTTTTTTAATTTTTTTCTTTTCCCTTTTCCCTGTATATTTCATTCCTTTCTTTAGTAATATTTCTATCATTAATTTATTAATTAGTATTCTTTCTTCTTCTTTTTTTTTTTTTTTGGGGGGGGGGGCTTACAAACTCACCTGTACGTCATCCACCCATGGTTTGTTGCAGGCTCTCACAAAAAGTATTTTTATAATTTCAGAAAACCTTACTCCTCAAATCATAGCAACTACCACCAAAATATGAACCATCGGAGACTTTATAGAAGGGGGGGGGAAGGGGAGGGCCTCTCCTTGTTCCATACTCCATTTAACATTGTATATGTATACCCTCAACCAAACAAAATTTGTTAACAAATCCTAATGGTT